GAAGGAGCTTTCGTCGCTACTATAGTCAGTGACGTTGCTAACATTAGCTGAATCAAGGCGAAAAACTCTTCGCTTACTTAGGTAGATATCCGCGACACGAATTAAAATATCTTCTCGTTCTTGGTAAGTAAAATTCTGGTCATTCCCAGCAATTATTAAAGAGTCTTCCATTGTTGAGTGGTTCATCTTTAAACGCCGATCAGTCAGTATTACAGTCAAAATACTAAAAATGCGTTCGACAGCGGAATTAGAGCCAGAAATACAAATCATAAGTTCAACTAGAAGACTTAAGTTTGGAAATTTGGTTTTATGATGAAGAAAAAATTTCGGCCACATTTCCAGTGGTGTGAGTGCAATGGTGTACTGAGTATTTATGACTACTTTTGCAGCTTTCCATTCCGGAAGAACCATTTTAAAATCCGTTCCTGCAGCCTCTAGAGGGTAAAAGAGTTCCTTTAGTAATAAAGAGATGCTGGCATCACCATACATGCTGTCTGCTGTCCATAATTGAGGATCTAACTAATCCATTGATTCGAATATGGGATTTGACAGCGAACTAAATCTATCGTTTATCAATGGCAGAATGATATCTATTGCAAATTTTTGTAATTTAATAGCAGAAGGAATACATTCCAAGTTAAGATAAGCCACATTTCCGAGCTCAATCTCAACGAATTCTCGATTCAATATTTTCAATTCGTGGCCTTCTTTTGGATACGTAGAAACAAGATTAGTTGTACCATCTTTTTCAATGATTCTAAACTTTAGTAAGTACGAGTCAAGAATATCATTTATATCTTCATTGCCTAATTTGTCTAAGCTAGCCTTAGTTACATCCACTGCTGGTTTTAACTTGTTCACAATTAACATTTGTTTTTCGAAAACCAACAATAATGGAGATTTTTCTAAAATATCAAATAACTACAAACTGTACATAACAGTCTGTAGTCGTGCAACCGTTTGGATATCCCAGAAATTTTAGCACGCATATCTGCTTTAGTGTCGCTATCCGCAAGGACGTTTTCAAAACCCATAATAAGCGAAGGCCAGTGTAACAACTTTGTAAAGCTGCGTTTCCTATGACTGATAAAGCGCGTTCCCGATATTTTCGGCAAGGTGTAGTATGTGATTTTTAAAATTTTAGCAGCTTTTTTAGCCGCGCTTTTTAATTTTCCAGAATTGCAAAATAAACTAAAAATGGAAATATAAAAGTGTTCACACTCTTTAAACTGCGATATATCTTTTACAGCACCTTTTATAGCCAATTCTAAACGATGGTTTACGCAGTGAAATTTTATCAGCCACATTCTCTCGTTTTTAATTGAGTTAACACGCCATTATAAATTCTGAAATTGACGCTTGCTCCATCGGCCGTCGCGCTGACAAGTTTGCATTTGTAAGCTGCCGCCATTAAAGGAATATTACCTGACTCACTAAAAATGCTGTCAATGCCCTTTTTAATGGTATTAGCACTCATACCACCCAAATTGTTCATATCAAGTAATGATACTAAAAAGTAGCCTGGGGTCCCCTCGCGTTCAACGCGCACAAGAATCAGCTCTTTTTCATCCTTTGTTTTTCTTGCCTGTGAACCATCGGAGAGAATGGAGAAAAAGCTTTTATCATTAACAATTTTAGCAATTTTCTCTTTTATGGCACTGGCAATGCAGGAGATATTCATGTGCTAAAAAATGAAATTTAAAAAACTAATAAGCATGTAGACAAAAAAAAATTTTAATCACTTTCCACATTAAAAAAAAAGTTAATCAAATTGATAAGACCATTATCATTTCGCATAGTTACCTTAAATAGCCTTTAAAAATGAAAAGTTGAAATTTCCATCATAATAGTAACTTTAATTTGATTTTTTAATTTGAATTATATTAGTAAATATCAAACTAAACCCTAAAAATCAATAACCTGCTTTATTGTTGCATTTTCCTTCTAAAAGAATTATGCCATTAATTCTTTGACATTTTAGCGTCTCAAAATGGCTATGTGGCATGCTCGGTTTTAGAGCCATTTCATAGGCAGTTCTTAACATTTTTGATAACGCATCGCGGTTGTCTTGTGGTACTGAGTTTTCAAAATTGAGATCGGTGACTTGACTACTTTCAGGATCTTCAGAGTACCCATTTTCAATTTGTACCGCTAACCTATGAGTTGGTCCTTTAAGATGGCGATCAACCTTTATTATTTTATTTTTAAAAAAATCATGATTAATATTAATTATTTAAAAAAAAGTTGGTTCATAACATAATTTAATAACTCAAAAAAATAAATTCATGGCACATTAAATAATACTTTATATATAATACTTTTAATGAAACATAGTAAAATAACTATATTTATAAGTAACAATTATATTTAAATGATTTTTATAATAGGCAAATAAAAATTAAGTAAATCATTTTAATTTTACCTGATATTTTGTCACCACACAAGTTCCATCTGAAAACGAATAATTCAACGCTCCTTTAACTAAAGGATCTTGTAAAATTCGCTGATTTGTGCTTAGCACAAATCTTACACCATATTTTAACCACTAATCCATTTTCCTCAGTGTACCCGATAACTGATTCTTTCCCCCAAGAAAGAAAAGTTTTTAAGTTCTTAGAAATTGGTTTATTAACTTGAATTATTTTTGCTTCAGCCATTCGTACAAACTCGTTATACTTAAACTTAAAGTTACTATTTTCTGTTTTAAATACTAGTCAAAGATATAAAGCCCACTCACTAAACATCATCAGCGGTATTGTTAAGCAGTTTCGCTTCCTTCTTACAAAGTAATTTAACGTTTTTAGTTAATTTCTATCTAGGTAATTAAATTTCCACAGTAACTCAATGATTTAGTTATTTCATTTGTTCATCTTACTAAGAAGAATTGTTTCAAATGTGTTAAACTTTTCAAACTACGCAAAGCATAAAACAGGTACTGAAAATACTTTTTTTATTTATAAATAAATTATGTAGCGTTAGTTTTATTGGTTTAATCTTGTTGGACTTTTCAGGGCCGGGGGCTGCATTATTTTGGTGGCCTTTTTTATGTGCCACCGCGTAAAAATGAATATAAAAATGTCCCGACGTTTCAAAAATATTTGCTCTAATCGTATTTATTTTGCTTAAAGTTTTTTTGCGTTAAAAGCTATTTTTCTTTTTTTAACTGTCTCTCATCGGTCCAGTTTATCTTATTGCGCTTTTTTGCTTGTTTTTGAAATGTTCTCAAAACGCCTAAAAAATCTGGACGGCTTTTCGCAACTAAATATAATTTCCGTGGTCAAATATCGAGTGCGATCGCATCCGCTTCCCGACCAAGCCTGCTTTTATTTAAAAAATTGCAAAATCTCCTTAATTTTTATTTAATTAATTTAATTAAATAAATTAATTAATAATAATAATAATTTAAAGAATTTATTTGTCATTTTATAAGTTATTTATTGCATCCGTCTCTTGTTTTTTAAATAGTTTAAAAATTGGCAGTTTAGTGTCTTAGTGGCCGCTTGTTAGCTGGTAAGTGGTTAGCTTGATTTGCTTCCGAAGTATAACGTGGTGGTTCTAATCCTGTTGCTTGCATCAATCTACATGTTCAAAAATATTACAGACAAAACTTTTTTTTTTATAGGAAAAAAGATTTAGAATAAAAGTGAGACAAACTGATCACCAAACAATAAAAATCAAATAACTCTATTATTTTTTTAACTTTTTAAAAAAAATAAGTAGAAAATACCAAAAAGCACATTATTTATTATTATTGTTATCATTTTTTTTTTTCAATTGTATTTGAAAATATGAAAACCAAAAGTGGGAGGGAAGTTGACTGATTTTTTTTCTTGTAAAAAACTCTTTAGGTTATTTTCCATTTCAATTTTCATTCTCTCATGTAGTGCTCCATACTTTTCCAACCTCGAAGCCGCTGTTGCTGGTTCAGAAAATAATGCTAAAGGCTTTATTGTTGGCAATGGCCAAGAACTAACATGTTAGAAAATCCAATAATTTATTTTACATAAGTACTTTTCTCGGCCTTGAGGAGGTGAATTAAATTAAAAAAAAAAAAAAAAACCTAATTTAAAAATTCACATATTGGTTTTACCAGAAAAAATTTAATATTGATTTTTCTTAGTTTTTTGTCTAACTTTTAATTATAAAATGAAAAAAAAATTATGTAATTGGTATTAAATTTTCTACAAGATAGATGTAAAATTATTTTTAAATGAAGTTAAAATTATTTTCAAACTTTTATGAAAATAAAATAACTGGAAAATGACTTGGATTTTATTTTGACATGTTTGAATAGAATAGATAGTTCTCTTTCTTCTGGTGTTTTATTTTTTAAATATTCTCATCAGTTCTGGTTTTATTTAAATTTTTCAATCAGTGATCAAAAAAATAGTATGATCCGTTTTACCTGCTTTTCATTCAAACTTTTATTTTTTTTAATTTTCAACATTCAAACTTTTGTTTTTTTCAAAATTATAATACGAGGTGAGGTTCCTAATAGTCTGTGAGGTTCCTAATAGTCTGGAAAAAAATTTAATCAAAACTTAATAGAAAGTTAATAAAAAAAAAAAAATTATAAGTCTGTACATGTTTTTTATAGAAGCTTACAATTTTACAATAAAAAGTTATAAAGTATTGAACATTATTTATTTAAAACAAAGAATCAGCGGATTTTTTTTTTCTACCACTAAATAGTGGTTTGTGCAACGACCTCTGAAGCATTTAAAATTTTTTAAAGTTATGTTATGAATTATTTTTTTATTCATAACTTTAAAAGGTTGACTATAAACTATAAAAGTATGTATAGTTTTTCTACTACTTACTTGTGATTCTATTATTTGCGTAAAGCCATTTAGTAAATAAAAATGTTTATTATATTTTATTTATTGGGTATAATATGAACATTAGTTTCATATCCATAAAGTTTTTCTTTCTTATGCAAAATAGCCTTGTTAAAAAAGTGGTTTTTAAATTTATTTAATACTTTACTTTTTATATTTTAGAATTAGAAATAAAGAGTATGTCAAATACAAGTCTTCAAAGTTTCTTAACTTTGTACCGTGAGAGTTACCAGGTGCTTCCACCAAAAGGTCCAGTTACATTGCACCAGAAAGCACTGTTTGTTTTTTGGATAATTATATCATTCATATGGTTGCTTAAAAGATTTACTAGCAATAAAAGTAATATGATTTTTGCATTTATTATTAACCTTGTAAATTTTTTTTTGAATTAAATATTTTGAAGTAAATTTCATAAATTCACCTCCCTATTGCTCCAATGACCACTTAAGTGAAGAGAGCAACTCATTTTTTAAAATATTTTGTCTCAATCCTTAACTTAAAAAAGAACAAAACATTTTTACTAAGAAACGACATTAACGACTAAAATTTTTAAACAAGGGGGCTGTGCGAGAAATAGATTGAGCACAGTAATTTCAGCAGAGGTGACTTGAAACTCTTTTTTTAGGCATCCTAAGAAGTCCTAAGTGTGCTACCACTGCGCCATGGCTGCTTACCTTTTGATTGCAAGCCAAATCTTTTACCACTAGTTTACTACCACATTATATCTATAGTGCAAAAGGAGACTCTCTTTCAGACTTTCAAATAAAAATGATATTAATTAATTGCACTTAATTAAAAACATGTTCAGAATGTCATCGACTAAAAAAAATTACTATAAAAATTATTATGACAATTGAGTTATTTAAAGTTTGTAAGACAATACAAATGTTGCAAACTAGTTTTTTTGCGAATATGTTCAACATATCACTTCAAAAACTAGTTTGCACAAGTTTACAACATGTAATCAAGAAGTTTGCAACATGATGCTGTTACCTTGAAAACTATTGTCAATCAGCATTACTATGAACGCTTTTAAACATTTTTGCATCATAGAAGAAAACTGTTAGCCTAATCCCTACTTTTTTTTAAAAGAACATTTTACTGTCCAGTTTCCTGGAAAAATTATAGGTCTCGTCAACATTATGCAGTAATTGTCTTAGTTTTCTTATTTTATATGATCATAATCGAATATTTAAAATGGTGTGACAGTAATGATTAACCTATTTGGTGTGACATTGACACTTCATAATGTTTTTATTTTTTAGATTATGGATAGATTTGTTTTGCAAATGGGTTTGTGCCTAAACTTAGATTGTTCTTAAAAATATCTAAAATGAATTTGTTAAGAACCATTACAGTGTCTTCACCACCAGATTCTTTTTTTCCTTAAAGATGTTTTATTACCTCAGTTTTGCAACTGAATCAAATTAACACGATATATAGCTCTATGTGTGTGTTTATTCACCTTATTAGTTGTAAAATAGAACATTTTTAAAAGAACCCAAATATATTTTGAGTTTTTTTAAGGTGGGTTTTTTTGGGTTGGGTTTTTTTTCCAACCTTGAGTCAAACACAAATGTAGTTGAGTACAAACTTGAATACTGTTAAATTTTTATTCAAGTAAAAGTAAAGTTACCAGTCTAAATATATACTTAAAAGAAGAAAAAAAAATATAGCTCATTAAAAATGTAATCAAAGTAAATGGTTTTACTGAGTAAATTTTACTTACTGAGTAAAATTTTGTGGGGTGCAGGGTTCTAGTGTAGTTAAAAATAACCAAGGAAAAGTAAATTTCAATCTGAATATTTTTAATTGAAGGAATACATTTAAAAAAAAATTAAAGCAAAATAATTTTTTTTAATTTTTTAAAAATTAAAGTGAAATGCAAAAATAATAAAATTAAAATAAATAATTTTAGTGCAGATCATGAAGCATTTTACTTCAATCTAATGAATTGATATAATATAATTATATAATACAATCTAAAACAGAAATGCAAACACTAAAAATGGCAACAATTTTGGATCCTTTTGTTAAACAAAAAAGTAATTCTAACTACAAAAAATTAAATCTAGTTAGGATAAGGAACCTTCAAGTATTAAAGACCAAACTGTGTCATTATAAAATAACAGACATATAATAACATAATATAAGCATATTATGCAAGCTAGACATATATAATAACATAATATAAGCATATTATGCAAGCAAGATATGTATAATAACATAATATAAGCAACAATTATGCAAGCAAGACATATATAATAACATAATATAAGCAACAATTATGCAAGCAAGACATATATAATAACATAATAAAAGCAACAATTATGCTAGCAAGACATATATAATAACATAATATAAGCATATTATGCAAGCAAGATATATATAATAACATAATATAAGCATATTATACAAGCAAGACATATAATAACATAATATAAGCATATTATGCAAGCAAGGCATATATAATAACATAATAAATAATTAAGCAAGACATATATAATGACATAATATAAGCAACATGGTCTAATCTTTTTTGTATATCTTTACACAATGAATTTTATGCTAAGTTTGAGAAGCAGTTGGTTTTCAAAGTTTAGATTTTATCCTTGCTCACTTGAGCTGAAAAATATCAGAGTACTAACAGTGCTATGTTGCGCATAAATGGTGTCCCTGTTTGTACTTTTAGTGTACATTGTCAAGGCCACATTTGGAGTCTTTTGTTACGGCTTAGGGTTTATTAATAGTGATGTGGACTATTAATCACTTGGACTATTAAACAGTGTACTGAGTACTGTCTATGGATTAAGTCAAGTTCTTTAATAAATTTAAAAATGAATAAAGTACCAAAAACTATAAAACACAAAAAATCATCGTCATCACCAAGTTCTCTAAACCTATCATTCACTAATATTCGTGGTCTTCGAAATAACTTTTCTTCTGATGAGTCTTATCTCTTGCAAAGTTCATCAGACCTACTTGCTCTTTGTGAGACAAATTTGAATTCAGCTGTCTCATCTGGTGATCTTAGTGTTGATGGTTATCTTCCTTTAATTTGTTAAGACTCCAATAGTCACATGCTTGGGCTGGGCATTTACATTTATAAGAATTCACCTATTTGTCGGGAAACTAAGTTTAAATCCACAGACTATTCTTTTATGTGCTTTCGATTATCACCACTTCACTCGATTACCTTTCTCTTCTATATCGCTCTCCTTCATTCTGAGACTGAAGAAACAGGCTTTTTGATGTTATTTCTGAGACAGAAGTAACATCAAAAAGACTGGACTCTTTTTGATGTTATTTCTGATCAAATTGACCATGCCCTCTCTCTTTATCCATCAGTCAATATTTTTGTTGTTGGTGACTTTAATGCTCATCACACTGAATGGCTTGGCTCTAGTATCAAAGACTCTGCAGGTGTTAAAGCCCACAACTTTTGCCTTTCTCAATCCCTAACTCAGGTAGTCAACTTTTCAACACAACCTAAATCATTTACCTTCTCTACTTGACTTATGTCTTGTTTCTGATCCTAGTCAGTGCTCAGTTTCTCCACATTTACCCTTAGGTACTTCTGATCATGGTTTGATCTCTCTAAAACTATTATCTCATTCTTCTTCATCATCTGAATCTCCCTATCATCATACCTCTTTCGATTACTATAAAGCTGACTTTCCATGATTTTCTTCATGACTGCCCTTGGGTAGAAATCTTTCGTCTTCCTGGTGACAAATGTACTTCTTACATGACTTCGTGGATTCAGGCTGACATGGAATCCTTTATTCCCTCTCGACAATCCCAGGTCAAGCTTCACTTTTCTTTATGGTTTTCTTCGCATTGTGCTGCTGCAATTACCAACCGTTACTTCCATATCTATCAGCAAAACAATTCTCCAGAAAACAGACATCTGTTTAGTACTGCTAGGAACCTATGTAAAAAGGTTTTTTCTAACGCCAAAGTCTGCTATTTTCAGGTCATGAAATCTCGTATTTCATTACAAAAATTAGGCTTTCTTGACTTCTGGAGAACCTTTAATAGTATCAATAATAAGGGTAAATCTGTTATTCCACCACTCTTGTATGGTTCAGACTTTTTAAACCAAAAGACAAAACTGAATTGTTTGCTAAGAACTTCTCATCAATATCATCTCTTGATTCCACTAGTTGTGTTATACCTGAGTTAGTCATCAAACAGGTTAATCCATTGTTTGACATTCATAACACTCCAGCTTCTGTATCTAGTGATTTCCTGCTTAGACTCTTTTACAGCTTGTGAAGAACATACCTAATGTAGTCTTGCAGAAGTGTTCTCTGAAGCTGTCATCCATATTTTCAAAACTATTTAACATGTGCTTATCAGAGTCTTGTTTTCTGGCATGCTGGAAAGCGGTATCTGTTATCCCTATTTTCAAAAATTCTGGAGAGCGATCTGATTCGTCTAAATACTGTCCCACTAGTCTTCTTCATGTCAAATGCAAGATTTTTGAATCTTTAACAAACAATCTCTCATCTTGAATCTAATAACTTACTTTCTGATCATCAAAATGGATTTCGATCTTCTCGTTCTACAGCTGATTTGCTAACAGTAATAACCAATAGGTTTTATTGTGCATTAGATAAAGGTGGAGAGGCCATCATCGCTCTTGACATTTCTTTTGACATTTGACCCTCTTTGACATTTGCTTCCTTCATCTTGCTTTCCTGATTTATATATTTTGCAATCTTTTAAGTTGTCTGTCAATCTCAACAAATTTTATCTTTTCTCTTCCAGAATTCTTCAACTCTTATAGTGGGTGCTTGTAGCCTTGTTAGAAGCGAAGATATAAAAAAAAGAAAAAAAAATTATAAAGCTTTTGATAAAGTTTGGCATGCTGGTCATCTCCATAAGCTTTCTTACGGTGTATCTGGTTACATCTTTAAGATTATTGAATCCTTCCTTTCCAATCATTGTATAAAAGTTTTCCTCAACGGACAGCACTCTTCTTCATATTCATAGGTTCCTCAAGGTTCGATCCTTGGCCCTATACTCTTTTTAATTAACACTAATGATCTTCGAAATATTCTCACATCTAAGGTGGCATTGTTTGCTGATGATACTACCATTAATTCTTGTCATTATAAGAAGCCAACACGCTTGTGAACTTTCATTCAGATAAAGTTCAATTTTTTTCAGCCAATCATCGCAATAATTTATGTCTTCCTATATTTATGAAAGGTAATGTACTTGATGAGCCATCTACCCTTTATCTTCTAGAATTAACTCTAACTTCCGATCTTTCTTGGAAACTGTATATAAAATCTGTCGCAAAATTAGCATCCGCTAAGGTTGCATCTCTTTTTTTAGCATGACACTTTCTTACTTTGGATTCTATTCTCTATCTCTATAAATCTCAAATCTGGTCTTGTATCTAATACTGTTGCCATATCTGGGGTAGATCTTCTAATAACACCTTTTCTCTTTAGATAAGGTGCAAAAACCCATTTAAACATAGTCAGATCTGCTTTTGCAGCCAACCTCCAACCATCATCACATGGTCGTAATTTTGCTTCTCTTTCACTTTTCTACAAATACTATAGTGGGTACTGCTCTAAAGAGCTAGCGTTTCTTGTGCCATCTACTGAAATTCATTCTCATGTTAATTGTCATTCAATTAATTCTCTTCTTTTTTTTCTGTGACTGTTCCTAAATGCTCTTATTCTTCTAGTTTTTTTCCTCGAACATCAGTTCTTTGAAATTCACTCCCTGTATCTTGCTTACCTGATGCATATAATTTGCAATCTTTTAAGTCGTCTGTCAATCATTATCTTGCTCTACAATCTTCATCTTTTCTCTTCCAGTAACTTCCAACTCTAATAGTGGTTGCTAGCAGCCTTGTTGGAAGAAGTGATGTTAAAAAAAATTTTAAGAATAAAAAAGAAGGTGTAAAATCTAGCTTGTCTGCTTGAAAAACTTGAAACCATCAATTTATGACCCAATCTAATTCAAATAAATCTATATTTCTTGCTTGAAAGCTTGTAATCATTAATTTACTAGCCAATCGATTCAAATCAATTAATCAAAATTAGTTAAGTTGTTTATTTTTAAATTAAATAGAGAAAATACTGTCTTTCAAAACTAAGACGCTTTGTTAAGTAAAAAAAATCATTTTTTAAGATCAAAAATATCAATTTATTAAGCTTTATTTTACTTTTATCTCATATGTAACTGTTTATCTTGAAGCTAAAAATAACAAAATCTTAAAAACTATTGATAAAATACAAGAATTCCTGTTAGAAGTGTACTAGTTACCCAAACCTATAACATCAAGTATCATGGTAAAATACATCTTTTAAACTACTATATAAGAAGAGAATTTTTTAACAAAATATATCTTTAAAAAGTTATTAACTTTTTAAATGGCTTTTCTACTTATTTTCAAACTCCTTAATTTTAAAGGGAGACTTTAATTTAAAGAGCTGTTTTATTTTCAAATAACCACTTTCTTTATTTTAGCCATGCTTAATCTTTGTTGTATTTTATTTTAGCTTCCAGTAATGAAGATGTTCGCCTTGACGTTGAAAAGAATGCAAAGGAAAATGAAGAAAAAAATTCGAATATATCTCCTAAGAGCGTAACTGATGCTTTATTTGCTGTGTTTATAATAGGGTGGATCATGGTTTTTTACTTTTTGTGCGATTATCTTCATTATTTTCCAAAAGCTGATCGTGTTTACAACAGAGATTTATTTATATTTCTGTCTATAATGTTATTTCTTGTTGCATTGTCTTTTACATGGACAGTTGGTCCATCAGGAAAGTTATTAAATCGTGATCAAACGGAAGAATGGAAAGGATGGATGCAAGTTATGTTTGTATGGTATCATTATTTTAGAGCAGCCGAGACATATAATGCGGTGCGAGTGTATATTGCTGCATATGTATTCATGACTGGGTTTGGTAAGATTAAAGTTTAGAAATAGATTAGGATTTTAAAATTTTTATTTTTAAATTTAAAAAAATGTGAAATTTAAAGATGCGTGAAATTTTTTTTTTAGGAAATTTTTCTTTCTTCTGGGTGCGCAAAGACTACTCTTTACGCCGTGTTTTAAAATTACTTTTTCGATTGAACTTTTTAGTAGCAGTTGTTGTATTAGTTACAGACAACCAGTATATACTATATTATATATGTGGAATGCATACTTTTTGGTTTGTTACAGTTTATATTATGATGCGACCTTTTCATGAGTTAAATCATGTTAAAAAAGTGATGCTCGCAAAGTTTGTTTTATATTTTGTTGTAATATACGTCATATTTGATGTACCCAATGTTGCTCAATATGTCTTCTTGCCGTTTTCTAATTTACTTGGCTATGGAGATCCCCCAACTTTAAATGAATGGATTTTCCGAAGTGGGTTGGACCACTATGTAACATTAATTGGAATGATTTGCGCTTATTTTCATCCAAATTTAGAAAAACAATTAAACTTCATTAACAATCACCGCAATAATATTGCGATTAATATCTTAATTAGCATAGTTATTTTTCCTATATTAGTATTATGGTATAAATATGTATTTGTTCTTTCAAAATATCCATATAATGTTCTACATCCTTACACATCATTTATACCGATAATTGCTTATGTTTATTTTCGAAATTCAACTAGTTGGTTGCGACGTAGTCACTGTACTATGTTTGCTTATTTAGGAAAAATTACTTTGGAGACATACATATCTCAGCTACATATTTACTTGCAAAATGACGCTAAGTATATTTTAGTATATTTACCTGAATTTCCGCTAGTAAACTTTATTTTCAACACGTTTATTTATTTGTATATTGCCAATCTTCTTTTTCACGCAACCGTAACTCTTAATGAATTCATATTCCCAAGTGACTATAAAGAAATGTTTAAAAGGATCTTAGTTATAGCAGGCTTGGTGGCAGGTTCATACTTAGTGGTTTTTGTTACGCATTTCGTATGAAATTTTAAAATCTTGTTAAAGTGTTATATAAACGTGATTACATTAATGTAAATTATATTAACTTAATTGGTTAATATTTGTTTTGTGAATTTATTTATTGAAATTCTTCTTTTAAAGTGAAGCGTTATTTAATGAAAATTAATTTTGTTTATGGAAATGAAAAAGTCTTTAGCGGTAATAGGAGTTAAATAAAATTTTGAAACTTGAGAATGTTTTTAGCAATGTAAAGTTTGTTCACTTTAGATTGTAAATAGAGCTTTTAAAATTTTTCTCTACAACTTTAAGCAAAAAAAGGAAAAAGGAAAAAAATTGGCTAATTATAAGCAAATTTTGAAAAAATATTATAAATGTATAATATTTTGAATTATTGCATTTGCTACAAAACGCTCTAGTTTAATCTTTTAAAATTTAATTTCTCTGTCGGAATTTAAAATTAAATTTAAAAATTGATACCTGGAATTAATATTTGAAATTTAAAAGGTTTTCATTTTCAATTATTTTCTTTAAACTTATTTCAGATCATCTGACATTTCGTGCGGTCTTTTATTAATCAAAAAATAATAAAATGCAAAAGAAATCAATATCAAAGTATACTTGTTTCAATTTTGTTTGCCTTTACACGATATTTCAGTTTTATATACTCAATTTACATTTTATCTATTTTGATTTTATTTATTAGCTAATAGCATATTTATGACTTTTTAAAGTTTTATTTATTTGTTTAGTATTATTTTAATAGTAATATAAATGCAAAATATATTTTTTTTATATCTTTTAAAATCGACTCAAAATCATTAATTGAAAGGATCTAAAGCTTTCATTAACTAGGAATTAGTTTGTAAAAAGTAATTTTTTTCCGGGGTAAAAAAAATAGTTTGCAAGTTATATTTTAAATAGTTAATTTACAATGTTAGTTCTTAAAACTCAAGAATTAACAATAGATAGAAAAATAGGAGGGGCCCCCTATATGCGAATTTATATCTGCGCATGTGCAAATGTTATAAGCAAACTTGCATAAGTGCAAAGCAGTAAAACCTTGGATATGAACGAATAGGCAGAGGTGTGCCAAAAAAATAATATATGTGGATGATGAGTCTGTTATATCAAAATCATCAAGTAATTTTAAGAATTTTTTTTTATAACATCTGAACTACTTTAAAAATTGACCCTGACCATGCTGTGGTTCAATTTTATTTTGATTTCAAATCGTATTTGAATCTTGTTGCATATCAATCAACTCCAACTGAGAAATTTTTTGCCTGCTGGCATGTCATGTAATTTCTTTGTAGCCAAATTTGATTTTGTTTCAATTAAATTTCTTTTCAATTTGAGAGCATCCAAAAAATATCGAACTGATTGGCGATGCATCAACATTTTTAAATTATAAGTTTTATCTTGTAGTGGATAGTGATAAGTTCAATACTTCTGTCAGTTAAATAATTCCAACCATTTTGAAGATTAAATTCTGTCAGTTAAATAATTCCAACCATTTTGAAGATTTTTTTTGGAATTAAGGGCTTGTTATAGTTATACTGCTTTGGTAGGACCAATAAACAAAAACAAAAAACTGTAAGATTTGTTTCTTTTTTCACTCAAACAAAATTGTTCTCCGAGTCATTTTTATTGGTCTAAAAACGCAACCTCTCAAAGGATCGTCCATAAATTACGCAACAATAAATTTATTGAAAAAATATAAATATGTGATCTTTGCTCTTTTGCGCGGCGGTTTTTATTAAACTTTAACCACTATTTTTATTTTTGGTTTAATTAAAGACTCTGCGAAGTTAAATTTTTTTCTTTTTTGTTTTGTTTCTTAGTGAAACTTAGCGTTGCGTAATTTATGGACGAACCCAAAGGTTAAGTGAGATGTGTACTGTTGGAAGGCAGCTATATAAATTTAATGTTTAATTTAATTTTAAATGTTGATGAAAAAATTAAACTCAACCTATTTTTTGAATAAAGTTCATCTTTCTTCCTACAGATAACCCAAGTTATTTACTTTTAGTATCATATCAATAATTTCTTTATTTCTTTTTCTTTTTACGATAGATTTTCAAATATGAAATTAACGGAAGACGGGGAAAAGAAAGTTTTGAACTTCAAAACTTTTGCTATCTTTTAAAAGATAGCGAAAGTTTTGAAGTTCAAAACTATCAGTCATAGGCAATAATATGTTTCATTCGAAAAAACAAAAAAATAGTATATCAACTATACTTCCTCACTAAAAATAGATAAACGTCGAAAGAACAGAAACTACTAAATATTTTGGGATATTTATTCATGAAAATATATTTTGGTAAGCCCATATAAGTACAATAAATACCAAATTTCAAAATATATTGGGATACTCTGCAAAATTAAACCAATGTTGTCTCAAGATACTTAAAAACTTTTTAAAAATATTTTTCTTATTTCTAAAGTTATCTTACATATGCTAATACTACATGGGCAAGCACACACAAATCAAATTGAGTACTCTTTATATTAGTCAAAAACATGCATCATAATTTTTTTTTTGTCTCATAAATTTATTCAAGTAATAAATTTATGAGACAAAAAATTTTATTTTTTTGTATTTATGTTATGTAAACCATAATATAAATACAAATAGCAGGTGCAAGAAGAAGACATAATTTGTCTTATCACCGAGCCCTTTAATCTATACCGTAAATATAAAACAACAAAAATGAAAAAACGAAACACTATATGTAACAGACTATCAAGAATTCAAAGTGGTAGGAAAAAATAATAAAGTTAATAAGAGCCATATGGATAAGCAAAAAAAAGAACCCGTTTTCGGAAACAAAGTCGCTAGCAACAGAAGCTCGATTGCGGGCAAACGTATTATTCGAGAATCATATATATTTGTAGGCGGAGTTTGTAACTCCATATCCGAAGAAGATCTATCAAACTACATGAATAAAGAAATAGGTATTACTCCTTTAGACATAAAGCTTAATAGAGAAAACATGTACAACCGCTCTTTCAAAGTAAAAATTAATAGTACTGAAAAAGGAATGGTACTTAAACCCGATGTTTGGGATAACAACATTATTGTTAAACCGTTTAGAATGCGGCGAGAAGCACTAACAATCGAAAAACCACATCAAAATACCGAAAATCATTTGCCACAATTCTTACACCACTCTTCAGCATTTATGCAACAATAAAAATTGAAATCATAATGGGAGAAAAAGAATTAAATGTAACTAACACAAATATTACGCTATGTGCATATAACTGTCAAAGCTTTAAATCGAATTCATATTATATTTCTAAGTTGTTAAAGTCTTTCGATATTATTTTTATATCAGAACATTGGCTTTTAAATATTGAGAGTTTTTTGTTAAATAACATTGCATTACTAACACACAAAGTTTTTTTTCATGCGGCAGAAAAAAATACACACGGTAGACCATATGGAGGAAATGCTTTTATGGTACGAAAAAAACTGTCGTCTTTTTACATAATACATGAAGATGAAAACATTCTTGCTATTAAAGGCACACTTAACAATCGTAACTTAATTTTTATTGGTGTTTACCTTTCATCTTGTCGTAATAATAACGAATCATACGCAAAATACTCTTCTCAGTTACAAACAATCACTTCAATAATGAACAACTATGAGGATGAAGGAGAATGTATTATTTCCGGAGACTTTCAGTCATTTCCATATAAAATATATGATTCAGAGCTTCGTAAAAACAAAACTAGGAACAATTTCTCAAAACATCTCACTAATTTTATTGAATCAAATCAGCTCGCTTTTGTCGATATAATCAACGGTGCTGGGCCTACTTATACCTATCAACATAAAACTCTTTCTAATTCTTCTTACATTGACCATATTGCATCCTATAAACAGACAGAACTATGTTTTACAAACTGTCAAGTTATGCAATCTTCACCGCTTAACCTTAGTGATCACCTTCCGGTGTCTACGAATATTAACTTTGAAGGTACCGGCTTATCACACGAAATAAATAATATAATGCAAAAATATAATTCAATACCAAAACATGCATGGAATAACGAAAGGTTTATTGACTTTTATAATCTCAATCTATCAAAAGCATTTACTAGTTACGCATTTAAGGAAGATAAAATAGAAGAAGAAATTCAAAAAACATGCTTATATATAAAAAATGCAGCTCTCTTGGCAGTTAAACAATGTTTCGGACAAAAAGAATTTTATAAGTACTCGAAACCTTGGTGGACACCTGAGCTTAAAAAAATTAAAGATAATCTCTCCTTTCACTTTAGACAATGGCAAAAATCAGGTTATAATAAGTCAACAGAATGTATATCCTACAAAAGATTTATTTATTCCCGAAAAAACTTTCGTAAAGCTGTAAAAGCGGCACATAACAAAAAAATTCACGAAAAAACTAAAAATATAGAACACTTACGCAATACAAATCCTCAAAGGTTTTGGGGTAATATTCGAAAAATCAAAAAAAATACTAACAATCGACTCTTTACAATTAATAAATTGCAGAAAAAAAACGAAATCGTCGAAGAATTTAGTCATCATTTCCAAAAACTACTTAATACACCGCAATATACAAATAACGAGTTCAATCCTCTCCAAATTCCACATTTAAGTAAAGAGCCTAATTCAAAAGTTATCTCGACAGCTGATATTGAAAAATGTATTTTAAAGCTTAAAAATAATAAATCTTACGATTGCTATGAAATCAGTGCTGAACATCTTAAAAACTCTCACAACAAGAATCTTCTTATTTTACTTTCGTCGTTTTATAACAATATGTTAACAAATGGAAAGGTTCCACACGGTTTATCAACCGCCAAAATTATCCCATTAGTCAAGTCTTATAAAACATCACTAGAAAATCCAAATAACTATCGAGGAATCAGCATTATACCAATTTTTACAAAACTTCTCGAATATCTTATCATACACATATGTCCAGATATAACAGAAAGTCATTCCCATCAATTCGGTTTTAAAGAAAACAGCTCTACCCTCCACGCAGAATTTCTTCTGAGTGAAACAATAAAGCACTATAATCATAATAACTCACCGCTATATATATGCAGTCTAGACGCCAACAAAGCTTTTGACAGTTGTAATTGGGAATTACTATTCGAGAAACTCTATTACCAGAAAAAAATCCCATTATCTATAGTTCATACAATATTATCACTATATCAAACAGGAACTTCTAATATATCATATCTTGGATGTACATCAAACAAATTTAGACTGTCTCAGGGAGTGCGTCAAGGATCCATACTGTCGCCTCATCTCTACAATATCTACACAGAGAACCTTCTAGAGAAAATTGTTTCAGAATCAAAAGTTGGAACTTCAATAAATGGTATATACACAGGTATCATTGCATATGCTGATGATATAGTTTTACAAAGTTCCACTATATCTGGTCTTCAGAGCCTTATTAACATTGTTCAAAAGTATGGACTATCGAACTTTATTAAACTGAATACAGAAAAAACTGAATTTCTAATATCTGGAATAAGTTCGATTTTAATTAACGTTATTTATATTAACGGTGATCCTATCAAGCCTCAAAACAATCTAAAACATCTTGGTTTCCTTTGGGATAATAAGAACAAAAAAATGACAGCAACACTCCAAAAACAAAATATAACTGAACGTGTAACGCAATTTTTATCTGTTGCAAAAGGTCTTATAAGAAATGGACTTCGCTTTTGCCAGCCTGCTACCATAGTTCATTTATTTAATTCTTTAGCTGTTCCAACGTTGTTATACGGATTAGAACTGTGTGGAAGCAGCAATAAGTTTCTAAATAGCATTGATATAGCTGGACGATCTGTCTTAAAATCCTTCTTTAATATTTCAAAGCAAAGTAGAAATTATCTACATTCTTATTTCAAAGTAGACGCTGTGTCAGACATTCTTTTTCGCAACAAGTTAAATCTATTTATCAGGCTTTTAAACAACCCCATATGTTACTCGATTATACGGACTCAGATGCCTTTAATGAATCAACGATCATTTGTGGGTGAGGTAATGATAATGTGTAAGAAAGCTGATATAAACATGCTCCAATTTATGATCGAGGGTAAGAAAATTATAATTGCACGCCCTCAGGAAGCATTGGAGGCCAATGTTGCGGCGATCTTAAAACAATCGTTCCAACACTGGAATTTAAAGGAACAAAGAGAAGTATTTAGAACGCTGATGGAGGAAAACATTCCAAGAACGATGCAAGAAAATACTTAAATGTGCTTTGTTTTTTTTTTTTTAATACTTTTACCTATAGTTTATGTAATTATTGGGTGTTTAAAAGAATAAATATAAAAAAATATATATAAGATAAAAAGTTTTTTTTTAGACTTGATAAAATAAAAATGATCGGTCCTGCTTTAACTTTTTGTTTTTGTATCAATTTAATTTTGAACATAAATATAAGAATTTGATAGACATTTCTGAAATATATAAACTCAAACTCATTTATTTGATAGACATTATATTTGAATTAACAAATAATGCTTGGGTGTGTGTATAACGGCTCACATTGGAAATGATTCTGATTGCACGCTTTTGTTTATTAAATAGTTTTTTTTATTTCATTTTTATTTGTGTTGCACTAAGCAATGTTTGCGTAATTAAGATGGCTATTAATGAACAAGAAATATAAAATCTTTAAGCAAGTTGGATTTAAAGGCCTTGCTCTGCAAAGCATGCCTATGTTTCCTTGAAGTTGTATTTTCGAGATATTGTATGTGATCTGCCCACGTCACATTTTCATCAAGAAGAACGCCGAGAAATTTTGAAAGTGGTTTTTTTATTTATGTTCTGATTGGCAGTACAAAGTTTTGGAAGTTTTAAAGGAATTCCATTTCGGTCATGAAAAGGATGGAAAAAAGTATATTTTGTTTTGGTTACATTTAGAGATAATTTGTTTGCATTAAACCATTCAGTAATATTTAATAGCTCTTCGTTTACTGAGTTAAACAGAATATTTTTATTATTATGTGCATAAAATAGATTTGTGTCATCTGCAAATAAAATTGTATCTAGTTCTGTACAAGCTTTGCTTAAATCATTAATAAAAACGAGAAATAGGAGTGGTCTTAATATAGATCTCTGAAGAACTCCACGTGTTTTGTTCATATTGGTTGTTTTACCTTCATTATAAGAAATGTATTGTTTTCTATTTGACAAATAGCTTTTAAACCACGCAATATTTATATGTTTAAAACCATAGTTTTCTAATTTTTTTAATAAAATGTAACGATCAACAGTGTCAAAAGCCTTGCTGAGATCAATAAATACACCTAATGTATTTTTATTTTCATCAAATGATTTAAAGATATCATGAACATGATGAACAATGATCAGTAGAGTTTTTAAACCCAAATTGCTTACTATAGAGAATATTGTTTACATCTAAAAAGTAATACAATATTTTATATATAATTTGTTCTAATAACTTTGAAAAGCATGATAGTATGGAAATAGGCCTGTAATTAGAGACACTAGTCTCAACTCTTGATTTTAGTATAGGTATTACTCTTGCAGCTTTAAGTTTTTTAGGAAAGATTCCTTGTTCTAAAGAGAGCGTAAATATATACAAAAGCGGAATTTTTAAATAAGGCATTGATTTGATTATGACATTACTAATTATTTTAATTACTAAACTAGTTTAAAATACTGAAGATTATAAACTAATCTTGATAATAAAGAACTCACTTAATTATGCTGAACCTTTACTATAAACCTTGAATGCACTAAATCTTTGCCAAATGAATATCCACCAAAATATAGACAAGCCCCTTCGCATTTTTCAGATAACTTTTTTCAAATCAATTCTAATAGAAATATATCAAGAGAAACAGCAGACTTTACATGGTCTAAAAAGAAGCCAAGTTCTTACGGCTCTCTATTTATCTATATGACAAAAATAATATCCGCAAATATAGAACTTAAAGCATTAAATAATCCTGCCACCTTAAAAAAAATATGCTATAATATACTTAGTATCAAAAATTTTATCGGCATGTATTAAACTTAACAACAAGATTTATTTATTTATTATTTTAATTAATTCTGCTAACGATTAAATCTAACTCTAGAAAACCATCCACTAAAATGGTTATGTGTATTATTGACTGTATATTATTTCACCACTTATGACTATAAACTGCATTTTATTTAACAATTTTAAGAGGTACTCGATGATAAGACTTCTACTAGTTTCCTTGACAACAACATGTTTATAGTTGAAGAAAAATAGTTGTTTTTTTTTAAAAAAAAAAAAACACTGTTAGTTTTTATGATAAAAAGCAGTAGTGGCAAAATCTGCCCCCCCCCTTCCTTCTTCCTTTTCACTTTCCTTTCAAAAAGCTGAAACTGAGATTTAATGTGAGTTCAAAAAATGTGAGTTAAAAAGCTGAAGTCTGAGACTGAATGTGAATCAGATTATAAGGTGGTTGGAAGATCTCTGAAGTTGAATCTCAGTATATCATTGATGTTATTATTTATAACGGGAAAAACCTTAGGTAGTTGAGTATTATGCACTTGTTCTTAGAATAAATTGATTTTTTGCATTTAAATATTTGCTATCAAAATAATGTACCTAAAGATAAAAATATCAAAAACTTTATCAAAACTTACTTAGATTTTAACCTGTATTAGCGCAAATGTCAAAAAACCTTCTGGGCGGCCGCTGTCAATTCATGTTACAGCATATAAGTGTAAGCATATATAAATATTGGAAATCTAATGACAGCATTTTTCTTGCCTTCTAAACTGCAAATTGGATTATAACGTATTTAACATCTTTTAAGTTTAATTGAGATGCTATTTTTGCTTCAACAGTTACTAAGCTTAGGGCAGTCAAACGGTGTTGTGCCATCGTTGTCCTTAAATGTATTTTAATTATCTTAATGTGCGAAAGATCTTTTATGTCAAATATAGAATGAGTGCTGCGATTATAAAGCCTCTAACCCTATTACAGAATTTAACCCGTTGAAATTTTCTGCATTTTTATTGTTACCATTGCTGTTTTATTGTTCACAATTTAAGCAAACCTGAATTCTATTCACATCTTTAACCTCCGTTTTGAAAGTTTTTTTCCGTTAACAAAATAACGTTTACTAATCACAGTGGGCTAAGCAGCTGTTTTCATAGATATTTGTTTATATCTTTTAAATGGAAAGTGCTATGAGGTTGATTGAAAACTTTTTGGAAAGATTTTTATGTGATAATTTTAGAAAAACTAAAAAAAATAATGGTTACAAGATGAGGTTAGGTTTTAAAACTTTTTGGAAAGACTTTTATGTGATAATTTTAGAAAAACTAAAAAAAATAATGGTTGCAGGATTAGGTTAGGTTTTAAAAATACAAAAATAATAACTTTTAAAAAAACTTTTTTTTATTGAGTATGACAAAAGTATATAAAAATATAATTATGTTTGTGTACTTTGTTATACAAAGATAACATAAGAATATCAATGACAAAAACAAATATTATTAAAAAAATAGTTACTAAATTAAGTAATTTAATCATAAGTTAACACCACAAAGTATAAGTCCTTTTTCAATAAAATGTTATAAGGTGCATTTTGTTTATGACAATATCTATCAGAATGCTCTTTTTCATTACAAAATTTGCATATTGGTTTTCAGTTGTATCTCTCACATTTAGTTAATACTCTTGGTTAAATTAAGGGGCGACTACCCTCAAACTGTTCTAAATATGTAAATTTGTGATACGAGGAGAAGCAGATTTTTGAATAAATATTTTTTTTTGACAAAAGGCTACAGACAAGTTAGGTTATTAAAATAAAGGTCAAAATACAAAGAAAAAAACTAAATAACTCAAAATCTTAAGTCACATGAGAAATTCTGTTCCGCTTATATCATAAACATTGGTAAAATGAACAATCCCTAAAAATTTCATCATGATAGCATGTATACTTTTCAAGATTTTTTTCCCGGCGTGTTTAAAAATTTAATTCTCAGAAAACGCAAAACAAAAAGTAAAATCATAAATTATTGTTCATTTCATAAAAATATCTTTAAAAAAATAACTTTTTAAAAGAATATTTCAAAAACTATCAGATTCATAATATTCCTTGGACTTTTCTATTAACTTTTGATGATCATCCTTTGATAATCGTTGACGCCATAACATCTTTCGTTTTATATTAAAAGTTTCACTCTATTTAAATAATGATTGTTTTATTCGTTTATTGTTTATGAGTCTGCAACCAGCTAAATTAAAATATTCGGTTTCTGTTGTTTAACGCATTTAGAAGCCATTTTTAAAAAAAATAGTTTTGTTACTTATCAACAGTCTCAAAGTTTTTACAACAAATTTGTTCACTATATATAGTATTTAAAAATTCAACTTGTGACTCTTGTCAACAATTAGTGGTCGTTATACAAAACGTTATAATAGTAAAAATATGCAACGTGTGACTTTTGTCAATAATTAGCAAAGCTAATTATTGACAAATTATTGACGCACATTAAAATCACAACATCTCCCCCAACTCAACAAGAGCTCATACATAATCGTGATACTTCCGGTTAGGAAGTACTCTTCTCCCATAGCGAGTAAACCGAACAGGCTGTAACTCTGTCTCACAATTTGTTGGATAGTTTTGATCAGCGCGGTGCATACTATTATCATCTTCGCCGTCGTCCAGAGAATTTATCTGAGAACTTGGATCGATTGCAACGTGTTTTAAGTTCGTTTCGGGAGGTTTAACAAATGTCGGATTGTAATCGTCATCAGTTGTTATATCTTCTTCGTTTTTGTCTACACGACGATGCTGCAGATGAATCAACACTTTGGGACGCTTTTGAAGTTCAAGATGAGCAAATTTTTCCATCTTAGGTGATCAAGGCTATCCCTGTAATAATTATCTCATAACGCCTTACAGTGACAACCAAACAGCTTCCAAGCGTCGGTTCAATGATGCACATCGAAAAACTAGAAATTTGATAGAGCGATGTTTTGGGATTTTGAAACACAGGTTTTACTCTCTACAAATTCCAATTCGATTTCGTAAAGTGGAAAACTAATCGTTTGTGCTTGTATGATTCACAACATGTGCATTAAAAAGGGAGATGAGGGAGAAAATCTTCCAGTAATACCTTCCACAGCCTTGTCCTTTCAAGCTAGAGACGACACTAAAGATGAAGTTCAAACAGGTGCACGCCGCGATCAAATTTTGCAGTTGTTCAACTAATGTAAATTAAAAAAATGT